CACACAGACAACTACCAATCCAAAAAATTGAATAGACTTCTGGAAACGTCTAAACTAAACAACAATGCAATCGGTATTTCTTCAAGTCAGAATTAGATCTACAAACAGAAGTAAATGAAAATGAAATCTGCCAAATGGCTACATTAAAATCTTGTGAGTTATCTCTTTTTTTTTTAATTTTTACTTGGTTACATTCAGGTGAGGGTGATCTTATCTATGGCCCATGAATGGCATTGTCATATATACATTGGGAACCCCCTAAACAAAAAACCCACCTGGTTGGGTGATCCTACCTACACTATATATCAGCTCTTTTCTCACAAATTGGAAAGTACTCTGCTCTCTTCTCTCCTCTCTCAGTGTCATCGTAAGGACATCTATAACAGCACAGGAAGTCGTACCTCTTGGGGAATATAATATTTATCATTGAAACATAGCAACTTAGTCTCAAGTTTCTACTAAAGGATCACCACTGCAACTTACAGAAGTGTATTAGTGTCACATGCACATGGTAAAGTATACTATTAGGTGTTGGGCCAGTGGGTTGTTAAACGTGAAAGACTTCTACAGTCAGTTAGTATAGCCTTTTATTTTCTGTTTCAGATTACAGAGGAAGAAAGCCACTTAGCAAGCATGCCTAACAGTTGTTGACTAACCTAAAGGGAAGAAAAGGAAAATTGTACAAGTGGGAACCATAGATACAAATGATACCAGCTATGAATCATTTGTAGACATCTACTAGGAAACACATGGAAACATGACACCAGATACGAATCATTAAAAAAAGGGAGGCATAAGTGGTTTTACCTTCAGAGAGTCTACGAAAACAAAGAGCCCAACTTCAACGTAACCTGAAAATAGATTAGATAAATCAGCAAAAATTTTTAGGTTTGGTGAATATTTCCAATAGAAAAGTTTCCATACAAAACAAAGGGAAAAATTAACATCTCTATTTCTAATGAACAAAAGCTACTTGGTCTTCCTACAATTACAGAGGATATCAAAGACTCAAAAGTTCTTATAAAAAGTGAAAGCAAAGAAAACTTGGTACAGGAAAGTGAAAGTATTTCAGTTCACAAAGATCAGGTAGGATTGGTATTCTATAGAAATGATGATGAGAACATTGAAGATATTAGAACAAGCGGTGATATGGATGGTATAGGAGATAGCACTTCTATTTCATTCAATAAGCAAGAAGTTGGGCCTAAGCTAGCACAACCAAGTCCAGTCTCTACTCTAAACTCCTGTTTTCAAGACGATGTAGCTAGTCCTGCAAAATTCATCATAGAAGGTAATACTCCTATAGAAATTAATTTTCCTTGCTTAAGTGCCAACAAATGAACTCCACTTTCACCGGTTTTTTTTCTTCTTGTTCATTTTATTTGACTATTGGCCCACCCATTTTCCATTCTGAAAAGAATGAAGCGCAGAGCAAGAATGGTGTATCCAAAAATTAAGGCTTAGTTTGGAAAGAGTATAAATACATACAAAATAATACAAAATATAAGGTTTTGCACTCTGTATATTTGTATTTATGCTCTTTCCACTTAAGTTGGAAGGAGCATAAATACAAATATGTACAATGCAAACACATATAAAATAATACAAATGTAAAGATTTTGCCCAAAATGAGCCTAATAAAAAACTCATTCTTGCCCATAATGAGCAAAAATAAAAAAATAAGGCTAGTGGGAGCAAACCAAACAATGCCCCCTCAACTCAAGAATTATGGATGATATGGCACCAAAAGAGCATTAAAAAAAGGTCTTTACCAAATGTTGGTCCACATGATATGGCATAACATCCTGTTCCTGACAGTAAATTGTTTTACATTAGGTATGAAACGTTGTGACGAGTTTTGGGCCTTTCGGCGCAATCTTAAGGCATCTCATCAGGTCCAGCCCAACTAAGGTCGAAGCCAAAGCCCCAAGCAAAGTACAACTCAACTTGATCCAGACTCAAGCCTAGGCTTGTTTGGAAGTTTGATCTTTCATTTGGATTTCATGGTCCAAATGTATTTCTACTATATGGATAAAACTATATAATATGCACATGTATACATGGCATAAATGCATAATAGACACATCATACATATGCACAAGGAAAGGTCTTGCAGCTATATTTTATACACCATAAAACTCTCTTTCTTCCATCCAATGAACACAAGCAAACAAAAAAGGACCCATATCTTTTTTCTACTGCTCCCTCCCTCAAAGAAACTAGAAAGTAGAAGCCAAAATCTAAATAGAAAGAGGCAATTCGCCATCCTAGGAAGAAATTTATCTGGAACCATTTGCAGCTATATAATATTAAAAGGTTTGGAGCCAACCTCAGCTACTTCGTGTTTGTTTTATAAAAAAGGAGTTCTACCTTACTTGGAACGACGTTAGTTCATTGTTGTGGTTATGATATTTGAATTCTCATTTTACCTAGTTTTGAGTAAACTAGTGGCATCAGTATACACATATATGTCAAGTTTCATGAATAATGTAGGAGAATTGCTTTTGGATTTGATATTTTTATCAAAAAATGCTATCCTTGGCCAATCTTTATTATGACCGTTGATGAATCAGTTTATAGCCTGCAATATTTCTTTTTCAATGATCATTGATGCATCAATTCATAATTTATATCTATACTACTTATAAAAGAGTGAATGCCCTTTTTTTTTGGAATTTTCATTGGATGTTTTTACCCTTTTGTCTAAGCATACAACGTGTATAAAGAGGGCATATATGTCATTACTCTCACTTCAGAAACTACCCACTTATAACCATTTAAAAACTGACAGGGTGTTGGAACCATGAATTATAACTGTTCAGAAATTGCCCACTTAATACCTTAATTAATTTTTGGATAAATGAATTATAAAAAGTGACCATAAATTATAAATAGTTTTGTCTTAGAGATAATTCCACGTGCAAATACACTTACACATTTACTAGTTTTAACAAAAGAATGAATAAAATTCATGTAGCTGATCCCATAAAATTGAGGTAAGACTTAGAATTATGATGACGATCAAATAAATCTTCTTTTCAATGAATCATGGATCTTCAACCGTGTGATACCTTCAATACCCATATAAACACTTGGTAAAATAAAAATTTCAATTCTTGTAATCTAAGAAGTGTCTATTTACTTGAATAACTTTCATGTGAAGCTTAGAACTTTTGACCAACAAAAGGTGTACCTCTTTTTGCAAATAATCAAGATGTAAATATTTATATGACAAGAAAATATGATACAAAAAAAGTTGGTGTACAATTTGGTGGAGACTATGCTATACACTGAAAAAGATTGCTTGAAAATGAAATGCAAGTTGGAAAAAAATTTTTTTCAAATATACAAATGAACATTTTGGTCTGTATATGTAAATAAATGCATGATTTATTAAAGGGAAAATTTATGATTAGTACCCTGTATTTTGTGTCTAGAGCCACTTTGGTCCCTGAACTTTAAAATGCGACATTTCAGTATCCAAACTTTCAAAATGTGACAATCTAGTACCTGCCATTAATCAATAGTTAACCTGCCATTAAAGTGACATTTGAAAATGACACAAATGCCCTTCGAGTGTCGTTTAATTTTTTTTTATCAACCATCTAAATGTTGACAAAAAATTAATAGTCCCAAATCCTTGCTTCTTTCATTCAAGAAAGTTGGGGTTATGTTTGAGTGGGCATTCTAGTGACTCCAACTTTCTTGAATAGAAGAAAGTTGACTATTAATCTTTGTTGTCAATTAGTTGATAAAGAAAATTAGATGACACTCGAAGGGTATTTGTGTCTTTTTAAAATGTCACTCAATGGCTGATTAACAACTAATTAATGGTAGGTACTGAATTGTCATGTTTTGAAAGTTCGAGTACTATATTGTCGCATTTTAAAGTTCGGGGACCAAAGTGACACTAGACCCAAAGTATAGGGTATTGATTAAGAACTTTCCCTTTGTTAAAATATACATATTTACTGATATAATTGTTTTAGATCATTGCTATTTGTCATCATCATCTTTCTATGAGAATAGTTGGCTGCATGAATGCTATGTTGCCATTCCATTTTGTTCATTGTTCATTGCCATTTTCATCGTTGAAATTTGAGCTATTAAAATAATTTCTTACTACCTAAACCTATGTTCTTTTTGGTTCACTCCTATCGATTTTACACCTTTCAACTTATAACAATGTATTGTTTGTACAAAACCAAACCATCTCAATTTATTTTCCTTTATTTTTATCACATATTAGGACTATTCCCTTGTTTCTTTGAATGAATTTATTTTTAATTATGTCTTTTATAGTGTTTCTAACCATCCATCTTAAGCATTTATTCTACACCAATTTTTTGGATGGATTCAACTATATGATGCTGGAAAGACATGGTACAAAAAAGTTTTTACCGATCAATTGATATCATACAATACAAGTGATATTCATCATTACTCAAATGAGAGGGGATGATTGGTCAAAGCCCTTCTCGTATCATATCTTTCCAACAGCATTAGAGTTTTCCTTTTTTGGATATGTTATACATATATTTGATTGCTTATTACTCTTGGTTCACACAACATTGCTGGCCTTAATAGTTGACGGACATAGAAAATTTCCTTGTAGCCTAATTCCCACATTTTTTTTTGTTGTGACTAAATTGATCTATAATAATGTTTTAATAAAAAACCAAAATACATGTATCTACCTTATTACTCAAGGGCGATGGAATTCGATCTGTCCAATATGAATGCTATGTTTTTATAAGAATCATTGCTTAAAGTTCAATAAATTATATTATCAATACATTCTTTTCATGTTAATTCAATGTCAAAGTCATTTTTACTATATTATTATTAAAAATATATATATTTTGATTATTCTTAATTTAATTCACTAATAGATATTCAATATCCGATTGCTCGATTCGAATCCGATATAAAATCCGACGGAAAGGGAAAATCACATTGGATTTGGATATAACATTTTCACCCGACACCCGGTTCTTAAAATTTTCATTTCTCCTCTTCAACTCCCATCGGACCCGACCCTTCTCTTTCTCTGCTAAAGCTTCGTTTCTCGTCTCAGACAGACTGCAGGATACTCTGTCCCTCGCTTGCTTCATCAATAATCAATCTTGGATCCGTAAACGAAATTGACCTCTGAACGAACTCGGCTTCACTTCTCACTCTCACCAAACTCCTTTGGAGAATCTGTCCGGACTAGGGGATGGATTCTTCAGGGACAACGCTCATGGATCTCATCACAGCAGACCCCTCGTCGGTGCCTTCCGGCACCTCCGGCACCTCCGGCCCGTCCGCCAACACTTCTACCACCTCTTCAGTGGCGGCTCCGCCTTCCACACTCGGCAAACCGGCGGCACAAACAGATCGAAAGTCGAAGAGAAGCACTTTGATGCAGATCCATTCCGAAACCATTTCTGTCGCCAAAGCTTTGAATCCCGTCAAAACTAACATTATGCCCCAGAAGCAAAAGAAAAAGGTAACACGGACAAATTAATTCTTCTCTTCTATGTGAATTCATCTTCTAAGACTAACTTTAATAGAAATATTAACCAAGCCGGATCTCCTTGCAGCCGGTTTCGTATTCGCAACTGGCTAGGAGTATTCACGAGCTCGCTGCGGCATCTGACCAGGTAATTATCAGTTATTGTACGATTGATTACTCTCTCCCTCCAATCCTGCGGAATTATCTGGAAATTTGATTTGTCATTTTCTTGTCCTTTTTTTTTTATTACAGAAAAGCTCCCAGAAGCAATTAGTACATCATGTGTTCCCGAAGCTTGCGGTGTACAATTCAGTTGATCCTTCTTTGGCTCCATCTCTACTCATGGTATGCCCCTTTATGATTTACTACTTGCTTTTCCCTTTAGTTCGCAGTTTTTCCTGGTAATGAGTTTATCATAATCGTCCAGAGTAGGCATTGGTTGCGACCTTATAAAGCCAATTGATGCTCAATCCATCAAGTCTTCAAATAACCATTTTTTGTTTTCTTGGTCATTATCTTTAAATCTGACCGATAGCAAGATCAAACATTTTGGACCTAGTGGAATGAACCTAGGGCCTAGGACCACCGGCTGACTACACTCCCATCTGCTAACTGATTGTTTAAAATTTTGGACTTACTGAAATGAGGTGTTCATTCTAAAGTCAAAGATTTAGATTCTTCAGTGACATGCTCAGAAAACCAAGGTCCTTTCATTCATCCAAAACATATCTAATCACCACCTTGAAGTCCCCCTTTCTACTCTAGAGTATCCTAGGGAATACATCAAGAGCAATCACCTAAGAAGGGAAAACATCTCTACCCAAATAGAGGCACCATAGCCCATGGTTTAAAAACCAAAGTTTTAGTTATTTTGTTTCTTTGTACCTCAAACAAAATAAACTGAAACAGTGTCGTTTTTCCATTAAAAAATATATGTGAAATATTTTAGTGCGTAAAATATACTATGAAAAACGTTATAATCATTAAAAACCAAAAATAGTTTACCAAAATTTCTGTTATCTTGAAATCATGGTTTGAAGTTTTGGTTTCATTTGGCATTTCACAAAGTGCAAATGAGGAAACTTTGTAGATTTTGCTTAGAAATCAGGAAAATTTGAGAAAAATCAGAAAACACTTATTTTTGTTTATGAAACTCCAATAAATGTTAAAAGAGTACAAGTATACACTAAAATGATCAGCCCAGTGCACGAGGCTCCTGCCAATGTGGGGTCTGGGGGACAGATATGTGCAGCCTTACCCCTGCACATACAGAGAGGCTGTTTCCAAAGTACAACTATACACTCATTACCTAAAAAATAACAATCCACTATGTACAACAAACAGTAGAAGATTAAAGTTCTTAAGTAGGCATATCAAAAGGAACATTTGATTTATTATCACGAAAGGTTAGTATTCCTAAACCCAAATTCTTATATCTTGATTAATTTATTATATGAATTATTGCTATGGTTATTATATTAGTGTATAATTATTATAAGGATTTAATTATTTAACAAAAAATTATAAAAAATTTATGTTCTGAAAACTAAATTAGACCTCTGAAAGATAAAGACTGTTTGGGGGAATGAGGAAAAGGAAGATGAAGACTTTGACCCTAGCGGAGAGTAGATGTGGAAAAAGATCGTAAATGCAGCAGTTAAAGTGAACAAAGCTTTCAGTTTATTGTGTCACCAGCCCAATTCGTACAAGAGAAGACACAAGAAGACACAACAGAATTCTGGGGTGTATGACTGAATGAATCGACCCCACACCCCAATATATATATTAATGTATGTACAATTACATAAAAGCCCTTATAGGACTAAAGAAGATGAAAACAAATAATGTACAACATACAACTAGGACTATGATAATACAAGTACTACATTAGGACTCTTCACCAGTGATTTAAAAGGCACGCCTAGGCGCACAGGCGAGGCACATTTCAGGGTATGCGCCTCACCTAGGTCCTAGGTGCAGCCCTTTCAAATGTGCCTTGCGCCTCAGCCCAGGCGTGCGCCTCAGCTCCGAGAACCCCCTTTGGTAATGTTGTTCATTCATTCATCCTAATAAAGTGTCTTCGTAAAAAGCAATTAAAACTATAAAATCATTATTTTTGTGTGAAAACTAAGAATTTAAGACCTAAAGTGGACTTGTTTGGGCTTGCCTCGAGGGGCGTGGCACAAAGCCGGCTCGTAGAATCAAGAATGTAATATGTTTTACATTACATTAGCTATGTGAAGTACTACAATTGAGTGAAAAAAATAGAGGTTTTACATGCTTGAAAATGTTTTATATGTTTGATTTTATTTTTAAATTCTCATTTGAATATTCTTTACATCTTATGTTTATGTATTTTCATTTTAGATAATAGGTTTGTTAAAATATTATTTTAAAATTTTAGTTTATATTTTTTATTAATATTATGTTTAATATTTTTTTTTGATTTTTTGGCATTTTTTTTTTGAATTTTTTGACATTTTTCTTTGATTTTTTAGCATTTTTTAAATTTTTGCGCCTTGCATCAAAAAGGCGCGCGCCTCGCCTTGCGCCTTGCGCTTTTAAAACATTGCTCTTCACACTCCCCATCAAACTGATGCGAATTCATGAGTGTCTAGTTTGCTTACGAGAAATAAGTGTCTAGATCTTGTCATGGCCTTAGTAAAAATATCAACAATCTATATATCTGAGGCAACATATTGATAGGTTGATCATCAAGGGAGACTCAAAAATTGTGATAAAATAGTCGCAGAAAGGGGGAGGGGTGACTTGGCAGCTGAAGAATGAATTCCGAAGTTTTAAATGGTTGTCAAGGGACATGACAATCTAAGTGGGATGGGTGAGGAGATCAGCCAACAGTTTGACTGATGGCTTAGCAAAGCAAGGGGTTCAAAGAACACATGTTTTGGGCACATTTGTAGGTAGATGAAGACCAAGATAGTCAAATAGAGATTGAAGCCAAACAACCTCACTACACATAGATGGCATTGCCCTATACTCTACTTCTGTAGATGACTTGGAGATAGTTTGTTGTTTCTTGCATTTCTAGGAGATGAGGGAATCACCCATGAAGTCACACCACCCTGTAGTGGAACGTCGGGTGTCGGGGCATCTTGCCCAATCTGTATCAGCATAGGCCCTTAATTGGATAGGAGAGGATGAAGAGAAGAACAATCCCTATGATAAAGTACCATGAACATAGCAAATAATCCGATGGATATTAGTCAAATGAGGTTGTCGAGGGGTAGAAACAAATTGACTAACAACATGAACCGCTTGAGAAATATCAGGACGAATCATAGTAAGATATATAAGAGACCCCACAAGTTGTTGATTGAGGGAAGCATCCGTGAGTAAGGGACCTTTTGACTTAGCTTAACATTTAGATTATCAACCTGCTTATTATCAATAAGGCTTGCTCACTTGACATGATCAAATGCATACTTGTGTTGGCAAACAAAATATCCCTGATTACTTCTTTAGAGTTCAAGTCCTATGAAATAGGTAAGAGGACCCAAATCCTTCATGTGAAAGGAACTATGAAGTAGTGATTTTAGTTCTCGAGTTCCTTCATCATTTCTAGTCAATAACATGTCTTCCACATATAAGAGGAGAGTTGTGATACCCTGAGTCCTTTTTTGAACAAAGACAGAATGATTAGAAGCACTCTGACCATATCTAGTATCGACAATGACATCTTGGAATTTTTCAAATCAAATAACCATCAGAAGAAAAAGTCGGAAATAAGTTGATCAACTGAAACAAGGTTAGTAGTACTTGAGGGTTCAGGGTAGGTAGTGGTCATATGATTGGTGGCTCCGGAATCAATTATCCAAACAAGAGAACTCACTAGATAAGACAATAGTAGAAAATGTAGATTAGATAGCAGAGGATATCAGTTGTCGTATCTTTTCCTTATCCATAGAAGTAGAGGATTCACCTTTAGTGGTAGATGCATCAGTAGTCTGTCCATCAGTCACTTGATACGCTCGTGGCTGATTCTTCTTCATAGTTCCCTTGGATGGTTGAATACGGCAATCTGGAATAATATGACCATGCTGTTTACGATAGGTGAATACATTTTTCTTCTTACAATGAGAGGCAATGTGTCCAAATGTGGGACTCTTTAGTCATTTACTCACACGTGAATCCTAACAATCTCTTCCTCCCGTGCAAGTCTCTTCCACATTAGGTACTCAATACTCCCCCTTGAATGGAAACTGTTATCATGTCACCAAGTTTAACATGCACCAACCAAGAGCCCTTTGCTCATGACCATAGGGAGCCATCACCTAGCTGCTAGGTGCCAAATGGAGAGAGTCATCCATGGGTGGGCCAGGCCATGGGAATCACCAACCACTCAACTATGGGGGCACATTCCCATAGGTAGAATCATTATGGGAGATCAACCTCTCTTGTCAACTACTTGACGATGAGGAAACTGGCATGAGAGTCACCACATGCATCTACTTGTGTGTTGTGTGTTGTGTCCAGCCAAACCTTTGGCTTTGATACCATTGTTGTGCATTGAGGGGAGTCAACAAAACCGGGGAGCTTGCACACACGCATAAGATTTGTACACAAGAGTTGGACACCACCTTTAACCCAAAAGCTTAAACCATTAGGTTGTGGGCCAATCCTTGCATATAAGTCACTTGCATCTCTTTTCTTCTTCCAATGTGGGACTCTTCACTCTATACACTCACACATAACCCCAACACTATATGGACCTATGATGAAAACTTCATTTTCATGTGAATTGCAGATAACCCCTTCCTTCTTTTTCCTTCTTTTTGACCTGCATCAATTGGTTTTATTAAAGAGGTGTTTATTTGAGAACAATATGATGACTTTTGGCTACTTGATTTCATGTTGGAAATTTGTGATGGCTTTTCATAAGTATCTAGCATAAAATTAATTTCTACTCATCTTTCTTTGTAATCCCAATTCGATTTAGACTTAGTAAGATGTTGTTACTGTGAGTTTATACAGTTTGTCTTATTGGAACTATATCACTGTGCACTGTTTAGTGGTTTGGTTTCTACTTTCTGTTATGCTCTAACGTCTCAGAAATTTCTAACTGCTAGTTCTTATTGTTAATGCTTTTGTGTTTTTATTTTGTCATTTATCTGCTAGTGCAGAAATCCAAAAGAATGAGAGGTTGTTAACATGAAAATATCTATTCTACAGCTTAATCAGCAATGCGAGGACAGGAGTGTTCTACGCTATGTTTACTACTATTTAGCCAGGATTTTATCAGATAGTGGTTCTCAAGGTTTAAGTCCAGGTGGTGGGATCCCCACACCAAATTGGGATGCTCTTGCTGACATTGATGCCATTGGAGGGGTGACTAGAGCAGATGTTGTTCCTCGAATAATTAATCAACTTACTAAAGAGGCATCAAATGCTGATGTTGAATGTAAAGTAGTTCCTGCATTTGAATTGTGGCATATTTTTATTTATTTTATTTTTCATGCATTTATCCTATGCTGCAAACATAATTTACCTGCTTTTACTACTTTCTCATTTGGTTTATTTATCAGAATTAGATCTGTGGAGAGATGCTCTAGAAACAAGAGGTTTTAAGGTAAGTAGGACTAAAACACAATATGTCAAGTGTAGGAGTGGGATCAATGTCCAATTTCTTTTTTGATTGTTGTGGGATTAGGGTACAATTATGATAGGAGACCAAGAGATACCTCAATACAACCTTTTCTGTTACCATGGTTTGATAATTCAAAGTGAGGGAGAGATCAAGGAGGATAACACCTATAGAATTAGAACATGGTGAGCAAGATGGAACAGTGCGTTTGAAGTCCCACATGTTAAGATGGGAGACAGTAGACTAAGATGGTTTGGTCATGTAAAGATAAGACCACCTACAGCACTAGTAAGAAGTGACTTATTTTTTTCTTTTACTTTTTTTTTTTTGATAAGAAGTAACTTGTTGCAAAGTTGAAGGGCCTAGGAAGATGTCAAAATGGACATGACATGAAATAGTGAGAAATTATTTTAAGACCCAAAATTTAACAATGCATATGTTATGGGATAGAAATGACAAAAAATATCTTACTAGGTGGAAGAAGGTGAGGGAGCAAGGAAGAGGGACGGTTAGGAATTGGGATAATAAAGGGCAGAAATGCTGCATTAATTAGGAAATGGTTGTGAAGGTTTCCTAATGAGATAAGGTCACTGTGGCATTTGGTGATCAATGACGTTTATGGGCTGGACTCGAACAGATGAAATTTAGACTGTTAGAAATACTACCCTTAAGAGCCATGGAAAGTTATTTGGGTTATACTCCCTATCGTCTCACAACACATTTGATATGATGCTTTTTTGGGTACTTGGGTGAAGTTTAGGGAGGACCTATGGTGGGGAAGTCTCCTCTTTTTGCCAATCATTCCTAGAATTTATAGGCTATCAACCCTAAAACATAAGTACATGGCTTAGTTTGCAACTTCAAACAATAATGATCTTTATTGGAACTTGGGGTTGAGAAGGGGAGTGAAAGATTCAGAAAGCTCCAAGCTTATGCATTTGCTCGAAATGATAAAAGGAGGTATCTCTATTTCCTTGGGGGTGTGTGGATGAGAGTGTTTGGGGTCCTGACACCAATGGAGTTTTCTCGTGTCTCCTTTTTTTATAAGCTTGAACCAAAAATTGTACTACACCGATTCCCAGATAAAGCATTGTAAACTGGTTCAGTAATCCCAAAAGTATTCTGTCGGGAGGCAGCCGATCAGGTTATTAACACATGTGAAAGAGTCCAAAGGAAGTTGAAAGCCTGGTTTCTATCTTCTCATGTTTGTGTTTTGTGTCTGAGTGGTGAAGACGCCACTCATCTTCTTGTGACTTGCTAATATGCTTCTCAGGTATGGACAATTTTCACTTATCTTCAGGAGTATTTGGACAACACCTGCAAGCCAAAAACAGCCCATATTTGTTCCCGGTTCTCCGTTCTCCTTGTCAAGAAGAAAGATGGCTCTTTGAGGTTTTGTGTAGACTATAGCAAGGTTTAAAATGTTGATGTCAGTGTAAATGTTGGTCATCCAAATATAAGAAACATGTCGGGAATATCGTAAAATATCGTATGGAAATATTGTAAAAATTATAGACATGGTGAAAACATTGTAAAATATGCAAAATATAGAATGATATGTTATGAAATGATAAAAAAGCATAGGCACACCTTTTTAAATTATTATCTTGTTCCAAATCATTAAACAAAGCTAAGAAACTAAGGTTATAGACGAAAGAATACATTCTAAAGTTGCTCTATAAACCTTAAGATTCAAAGTTTCATGATAATATGAATTAAAGCATAATTTAAACTTAAAAACCTAGAGACATGAAAAGGTTCCGAGCTGCCACGAAATGGAGAGGGGAGCTACAGGTCGAAGCCAAAATGTTTAAGTTTGAGGACTGCAGAAACAACGGGATGTGATCATTGAAGACCAGAGAAGAGAGGAAGGCAACAGTATTCCTCATTGGTGACGCAACAGAATGGTTGAAAGGATTCCTAGATGGAGCAATTTATTCTGTCAAGAAGGAAGGTTGGAAGAGTCGACTAGCATTCAATAGGAAGAGCTATTCAGCTGAACTAAAACGAAATGGAAAAGGATGGTTTGTTGTAGCCACAGAATGGTTCGCTAATGGTAAAAGGCAGATGCTCTGCATCCCGGAGGGGAAGGAAAACAGAGGCTGGAAATTTTTACATCGAAGCTCCAAGAATATCTGGTCAACACTGAAGCACATTTCACAGTCAAGAAGGGGAAGTTGGAAGGAGATACAGAGGAAAGTGGGGAAAAAAAGAAGGTGGAAAATCTAGAGGATGAGACGAAACAGAAAGAAGACACAAAGGATGATGAAGATGTAAAGTTTTCTGCAAGCAACAGAACTCTGAAGTTGTGGGTGGAAGGCTTTAAAGACAACCTGCAAAATTTCTGGGTGCTGACAGCACAGCGGAAGATACAAGATTGGCAAAGCCTAGGAGAAGAAGTGAAAGGAGTCTTGAAGGTCATAGGAGATGTAAAGGTTTTCCCGTTTGATGACAAAAAAGCCCTGATTGACTTTCAACAAAAACCTAAGGAGGCTGAAGCGATATCTCTAGAAACATCGCAGGGTTTAGTGCTAGCTGGGTGGTGGTCTCCCAGTTGTAACGGAAAGTTGGTAGAGCCACTAAGCCATATAAACTTGAGGATTCTAGGGCTGCCGTTTCACCTCTGGTCAGAGGATATCCTCATTAAAATATCTAAACTGTGCGGGGGAGAAATGGAATCATATAGTTTCTCAGACCTCTGGGCAGCTAAGGTGCAACTGGTAGGAGCAGCACCAGAGTCGATCCCACGTCTAATAGAGATCTGTTAATGTCGACTGTGTAGGGGTAATTTTGTCTTTATGCTTTTGTTTAAGTTGCTGATGTGTAAAGTTATGTTGGTACTTGTGTCCCTCACTTAAGTAGGGGCAAAGGTGTCCTTTCCTGATTAATAGAAATATAAAATAGATCTGGCCGAATGGAGAGAGACTGATTTTCTCTCTTGTTCGAACCAAACCTTTCTCCCTCTCTATTCTCTTCTCTTTCTCTTATTTCTACTGTTACCATTCTAACAGAATTCAAAGGCAGGTTGGATTCTAATATGGTATCAGAGCCTAACTAAGCAAACCGAAACTGCCCAGAATTCTGTTCTTCATGCGCCCAGTCTAGGGTTTTCTCTTGTTTTCTTCGCCATCAGTTGGAGATAAGGGAAGGGGTTGAAAAGGAGTGATTGCCCTCTTCCTTTGGAGGTTTCTATGCCTCCAGTCGTGCAGTTAGTGGTTGGTTGCTGTGGTTTGTAGGAAGCCCTCCCCTAATCGATGAAGAGAAGAGGGCTGATTCGTGTGATGCAGTGGGTGTTGAGTATAGTCTGATTTTCTGGTGATTAGGTAAGAGGTTTTTATGCAGTTTTTTATTGTGAATCAAATGATGAGTATGTTTCAGATCGTATGGTGGGAATTCAGGTTGTAGTATGTTAGGGTTTATGCAAATTTCAGTGTGATTTGAAGGGGGAGTGATCCTCAAACAGTGTGGTGAGTTTTCAGGTAGTCATGTGGTAGGGTTGTGGTGTAGAGAGTGCAGTGTTCAGCAATAACAAGTGCTGAGAACAGTGTGGTTTAGTGTGCAGTGTGCAGAATTCAGCAATGGGAGACAATAGTGACAGTAAAACTAGTGTGATGGTCCCTACTGACTACCTGAATGTTTAGATGACCTCTATTAAGCTGAATGGAGAAAATTATGTACCTTGGGCAAAATCTGTAGAAGTCTTTCTTAAGGCAAAGAAGAAAGTGAAACACATAAGGGAGGAAAAACCCTCTACTGACTCTCATGAGTATGATGACTGGGAACAGGAAGATGCACAGATTATCACATGGTTATGGAACATTATGAAACCCTAGATTAGTATGAATTTCATGTTTCTTGATACTGCCAAGGAAGTGTGGGACCATGCTAAGAAGTTGTACTCGGGTCTAGACAACACAACTAGAGTATATCAGCTGTATTAGGAATACTTTAATTTGCAACAGGGTAATCAAAGTCTTGAGGAATGCTATGCTAGTATGAGAAACATTCATAATGAGTTGAATGTGTATCACCACCTCCTTCTCTTCCCCTTCCAGTTGCGGATTCCGTTCCACTCGTTCTAGCTGTGACCAAAACAGAAAGATGACTCAATGAAGGAACAAGAGACTTCAAAACTTTCAGCGAAGGATGACCGAATCGATAGTGCCACTAGAGAGGAGAAAGAGATGAATGGAGAGCTATTGACGTACTTCCACCACCGTCAAGATAATACAATCCACTAGCTTCATGCCCTCCACCAGTTTTCATCCCCGTCTTGAGATCTTGAAAAACACACGAAGAAGGGTAAAAAGTAATAGAGCAATTAAGAGACTTGGTCAACTTACTAACTGGCATAAGGTTAAATGGAAATTTAGGGACATACAAAACTGAGGATAAGGGTAAAGGGTCCATGTTAACATTACCAACACCACAAATAGAGGATGTGGAACCATTAGCAAGGGTAATAGATTGTGATGTTGGGCAATGAGAGAGGGAAGAAAACATACCTGGAGTTCCAGTCATGTGATCGGAGGCTCCAGAGTCAATAATACAGGGATTGGGTGTGGATGCTAGACAAGCCATACCTGAGTGTGCTAGAGTGGCTGTGTTCTGTTGAGATGTGGCTTGGACAAAACTCTCATACTCATCACGAGGGACACTCATCATCTCCTTCCCGGAAACATCTGTGGATGTAGGGAGCATCTGATCAGCTGAATGGCTCTCCTGTCTGAAGCTGCTATCACTGGTCATGGCATGATTGGCCTAAGTTGAAGGTGAACCATGCAAATCATAGCAATAATTAATGGTATCCATCCACA